GCATAATAGGCCACACCCAACAGCAGGAACTCATTAGGATTGGCTACATTAGGGGTGTGTGGCCTAACATGCAAATAGATTCCTGCTACAAAAAAGCCCTGGGTTTGGACAACAAACAAGGTAAACAGAATAAGAAGCAAAAGGTGGGTGTGGCTGGATGGCCACAGTTCTGGTAACATGGGGGTGTAGCCTAATATGTTAATGTGCTGTGCTGTCAGGGGCATGGCCTAATATGCTAATGGGTTCTTACTGTTGGGTGTGGCCTATTATGGTAATGAGTTCCTGCTGGGCTTTTTCTACAAAAAAACCCCCGGGGAGTTCCCTTAAGCTGTGAACTTGCTTCTTCAGGGGTGTGTGTGAGACCCTTTCCTTAAGAGCCTGTCTCCATATTATTCCACTGGTTTTAATGTCAGCCAACAAGATCTCTACATTGTCCAGACCCAAGTTCAGCTTATGCATCCTCATCCATCCTATTGCCGCTTCCAGCCGCTGAGCCAGGACACCTCCTGCCTCACCTGAGTCAGATGAAAAGGAGAAACAGAGCGTCGCCGTGCTTCAAATTCCCAGACGATCTCGCCCGGCAGCTTTGCATAGATGTTCAGATGCTAAAAGGCCTCTGTACATGGGTGCCGGCAGATGCTCATTGTAGCTGACGTTGAGTGCCTCAGGAAATTTGGCAGCACGAGCGTTTGCCTAGTTTGCCTCGATGGGTCCCTGCCCAGAACATGCGCCCCTGATGCACAGATGGTACACTCAAGAGAACGTTTGTTGATCGTCTTCTGTCTGCAACGGATGAACAAGGGAAGCTTCAAGCCCTAGAGATACTGGCATTCACCAGGGAAACCGGTTCCCACTGCATCACAGTGCAAGGGTTAGCCAGATCCTTCAAGGGAACTGGCATAGTGTGTTATCCCAAGCTTCCAATGATTACTGGACGGCCATCATTCAGCATGCATGTTCTACGCATTAACGACACAGGTTGGTTGCGAGGATCCTTGAAACAAAGGTGGTTAAGTCTGTGTTGGGCGTGGGGCGTGTTGGGCGTGGGGAGGGGTGGCTATTATTCTGTCTCAGTGGGAAAGGGACTACTGGCTCCAGCTGACCTAGCGAGTCCACAGACATATTTATTGGAAAATAATTCTATCCTGCAATGTTGACCCCAAAGGTTCATGAGGCAGCTTACAACCAGAAACATAAACATTTGCATTGCGTGTGTTCACGGCCATCGTTGCTTCCAACTTATGGCAACCACAGGAATTAATGTCCTCCAAACTAAACTGTAAACTGCAAACCTATAATGACGTAGCAGCAGCAGAACGGGAAGAAGCAGCAGAAGACAGCCAGTTCCACTGTGGGCCTGATAGAAGCCCTCTGGGGGCCTGATCCGGGCCCCGGGCCACATGTTTGACACCCCTGCTCTAGGTGGTGGGTGGGGAGTTCCCACTATTACAACTGATCTCCAGGAGATGGAGATCAGTTCACCTGGAGAAAATGGCTTGTTTGGAGGGTGGGCTCTATGGCATTGTGCCCCATTGAAGCCCCTCCCCTCTCCAAACCCCGCCCTCCTCAGGCTCCACCCCCCCAAATCTCCAGGTAATTGACAAGATTATGAGCAATGCCGATGGTCAAGAGCAGCTTTGTGCTTTGAGATGAGAATTTAATTATTGGATTTTTTAGACTGCCCAAACCATGAAGAAATCTACTGGTGAAATGGGCATTCCATGTTGACTGCACTTGGATTAATGATTTGTCAAGCACAGACTGAGATGTTGAGGAATTGGATCCTATCAGAGAATCTTCACGGTACTTCCATATGAGTGTGTGGGGCCGTAACTCAAGTTGGAGTGGCTTCAGAAAGGAGTTACCAAGGACATTACTTCATGTTCAGACTACATCTTTGTGCATTTTTGGAGTGAACGTTAACAATACTATATTGATTTATCACATAACAACTTAGATTTATTCAACAGGGATAAGAATTGCACTAGCAATTGGATTGCGTTTGTTTCTCTTTGATTACATATTTCCCAACCCAGAGCTGGCAATGCGACTTCATCAGCAAGTCCCCTCCTTTCACTGGCTCTCCTCCTAAGCCTTTAAGTGCTGCTGGAAAACACTTTTGCGCATTAGGCAGCAATAAACTGTTGACCACTGAGAAAGCTCTTTCAGGTATATCCTGCCTTCCCTGTATCACTGGACTCTCAGCGAGGCATACGTGAGGATCCCCAGAACTTTAGGCCCTGACTGGACTGAGATGGGGGGTCTTAGCTTCAGCACAGTTTCCACATCCTGGGCCTTCTAAGGACATCCAGGGTCCCTAAGAGGAGGAGGAGGAGGAGGAGAGGAGAGGAGGAGGAGAAATTATTTATACCTCCTTCACTCAGAGTCTCAGAGCGGCTTACAGACTCCTTTCCCTTCCCCTCCCCACAACAGACACCCTGTGAGGCAGGTGGGGCTGAGAGAGCTCTGAGAGAACTGTCTTTGAGGGAACAGCTCTGACACAACTAGGGCTTGCCCAAGGTCATCCGGCAGCTGCATGTGGAGGAGTGGGGAATCAAACCCGGTTCTCCCAGATTAGAGTCCGCGCACTTAACCACTACACCAAACTGGCTCCCCTAAACACAGCAATGTGTGACATGGCCCTATAAGACACAGAAATGTAACTTGAGGGTGGGGGGATTTCCCCACCATCTTTTTTTTTTTTAAAGAGCTTTGTGGAATGTGGGAATGTGCTGTGTTCTGGGAGCCTGGGCCCCACCTGTGCTATGAACTCAGTCTCTTTTAAAATTCTGGCTAGATGGTATAGAACACCATTAAAATTAAAACACATCAGTAGAACAAGAGTCCAGCGACACCTTCAAGACCATCAAAGGTTTATTCAGGGGTAATTTCGTAGAAAAAGAGGTGCAGGAGCTCATTAGCATAACTTATTTGCATATGCCACACCCCCTGACATCACCGGAAGTGTGTCAGTAGGCAACACCCACCGCTCAGGCTCCACTGGACTCTTTTGAATTGCTAGCTATGGGGGACACAGACGCAGATCTGCCCTCATAGAGGAGGGAGAGCTTGTACCTGAATAAATCTTGGCCTTAAAGGTGCCACTGGGCTGTTTTCGATTGCTATTGGGGGGGGGGTGCTCTGCAACTTACCTGACTGCTTCTTGTTCCTTGTGGCCCGGGGCTGCTGGGAGCAGGGGGGTGGGGCTTGTTGCATGTGCCCACCCCCTGGGCTCTTTACTGCTGGAGCTCCGCTCCTGTGCGCTCCTGCAGGAAATGACCCCTGGGTTTATTCAAGGTATGAGCTTTCCCGTGCAAGGCACATTTTTTCAAATACACTGGAATGGTAGGTAAGGTTCAAACTTCTAGTACCTACCATTCCAATGTATTTGAAAAAGTGTGCCTTCTGCACATGAAAGTTCATACCTTGAATACAACTTTGTTCATTTTAAAGATGTAAGATTGCCAGGTCTGGGTTGGAAAATACCTGGGGACTTTGGGGGTGGATCCAGGAGAGGGCGGGATTTGGGGAGGGGAGTGGCCTCAGCATGGTCCAATGCCACAAAGTCCACCCTTCAGAGCAGCCATTTTCTCCAGGAGAGCTGATATCTGTCAGCTGGAGATCGGTTGTAAAAGCGGGCGATTGTCCAGGCCCCACCAGGAGGCTGGCAACCCTGCTGGGATGGGGGGTGCAGGGTGCTTCAGCGGGACGGGAGAATCAGCAGAAATTGCCTTTGCCCCTCTCCCAATGAGCAGAATAAGGTCTATAAACAGCAAAAGCCTGCCATTGTTAGGAGCCATTTTCATGGAAATGTAGAGGCTGCCACAGGAGAGGAAGTGACATCCAGGCTAATGGGGGGGGGGTAGATGGAGGCTGTAGCTTGGGGAGGGGCATGGCACAATAGCATAGAGTCCACCCTTCAAAGCAGCCATTTTCTCCAGGGGAGTTGATCTCTGTAAGACGGAGATCAGTTGTAAAAGCAGGAGATCTGTTGGCATTCTTTTTGAGTTAGTCAGCAGAGTATTAAAGAGACTGAGTCCATGGTGTGTATTAAAATATAAAAGTTTACTATAAACCTAACATGAGAAAAGGTACACAGGATATAAAATAGCAAAGAGCTAATACGTCTACATCCTTGCAGCTAAAAGGGTAAAACGGGAAGAGAAGGAATGGTGTCTCCTTCTCTAGTCAGAACAAAGAACAGGAAGAGAAGCCATAAAATACTAATACTTGACACCTTAGTTTCCAATCAGAGTAACAAACTCGCTCCAAAGTTCCCGGGCATCCTACTGTCTAAACACATTGGTTACAGACAAACATGTGACTTAACAAACATCATTAACCCTGAAAATACTGATGTGTTTTTAACTTGTAACACCCAACAAGATCTCCAGGCCCCACCTGGAGGCTGGCAACCCTCTAAAGGTGCCCCTGGACTCTAAATTCGTTCTACTACTTCAGGCCAACACGGCTGGCCACCTGGAGGGATCTATTACTATGTCAGTATAGGCTTATTATACTGTTTGACTTTGTACTTAAAACCTCAAAACTAAAAAAAAGTTTTTTTAAAAAAAGGGCGGAGGGCAAGCGGGCCCCGCCTCGACACGACTCTCCCCGGCTCCAGAAAGATGCTCCTTCTAGACTGCCGTCTGGGGACTCCGGTGGTGGCCAAGGCTTCCTCTAAGCTGTGAGCAAAAATTCTACTTGGTGAGCTCCTGGCATTAAAGTTGTGAGCGAGCGATTTGGCTGCTGCATACATTAGTTTGCTCTGAAGCCCTCCTTCCTGAGCGGAGACAAAAATCTGTGAGCTGGAGGCTAAAAAACTGTGAGCTAGCTCACACACTAACTCAGCTTAGAGGGAACACTGGCGGTGGCTCGCTTGGCCCCGCTCTCCAGACGAGCGGGCGGGCCTTCTGCGTTCCTCCTCCTCTCCTCGGAGGAATTCCCAGCCTCCGGCGGCCTCCTTCGGCTCCCCGCCTTCCACTCCCCCTCTGCCAGCGGGGCAGGCCTCTTTCTCCGCTGCGCCCAGACACCGCCAAGGCGCTCTTGGTCCCGGCCTCCCTGCGTCGCCTTCGCTCCCGCCGCCCTCTTCATCCCTTCCAGCCACGATGCCGGCCTCCCCCGGCCGCCTCTGCAGCCTCCTCCTCCTCCTCGGCTTCTCGCTCGGCTCCTGCTCCTCGCTGCCCCCCTTCGACCTCCTCTACGCCGACGGCGGGCGGGCGTACTTCGCGCAAGACTGGCCGCGGGCCGCCGAGCTGCTGCAGCGCTCCTTGCACAGCTACGCGCGCCTCCAAGACGCGCGCCGCCAATGCCAGCGCGGGTGCCAGGCCGAGGCCGGCTGGGCCGCCCGGCCGCCGCTCGGCCAGCCTTGGGAGACCGGCTTCTTCGACCGGGTGCTGCAGCGGGCCGAGTGCCTGGAGGAGTGCCTGGGGCGCCGCCTGGACGGGCAGCCCTCCCTGCACCGGGCCTCCGCCGAGATCCAGCAGGACTTCGAGGAGAGGGAACCCTACAACTACCTCCAGGTGGCCTTCTTCAAGGTGAGGTGGCCGCCGCTGCCCGCTTCTCCACGCCAGGCCTGGGTTGCCGCACTCCAGGTGGCGCCTGGACATCTCCCGGAATCACAGCTACAGGAGAGCGGGCCCCCCTGGGATAGAATGGCTGCTTCGGAGGGTGGCCTCTCTGGCACTGTACAGAGGTACTTCCCTTCCCAGACGCCACCCCTAAATCTCCGGGAGCTTCCCAACCCAGACTTGGCACCCCAAAGCACAGCAGCGGCCACGAAATAGTCCCCAAGCCAGCATCTGTGGCAGAAACATTTTCAGGGGACCCATTAATTGCACTGCTACAGTGTCAGATTAGGAGCGGGGAGACCCGGGTTCGAATCCCCACTCTGGCCATGGGAGCTTAGGCTAGACACACCCTCCTCAGACTAACCTACCTCGCAGGGTTGTTGTGAGGATAAAATGGAGGTGAAGAGAGTGGTGTAAGCCCCTTTGAGTTTCCACTGGGGAGAAAAGTGGGGTATTGATATATATTTCCCCCCCTTTGTCTGGAAAGTCCGCCTGCCCTTTTTCACTCATATTGTCGGAGTTACCTCTCAATGGTTGGCTGTAGAGGACAAGGCTTTTTTAAAAATAAAAATAAAAATGGGCAACTGACCTACAAAATGTGCAGTTCCCAAGGGGGCGGGGATGTGCAGATCCCAAAGAGCTCTTGAGGCTCTCCGAAAATTCAAGCCTCGCAAAAAGTGATCTTAGCTGGAATATAGCAGTCTCCTGTGTTTGCGTTCTCAGATTCCGAGTTCTGAGGATTTTCGCCCACTCCGTGTAGGCTGCTAAATGTCACGGGATGTGACTGTGCGCATGCAGGGAACATAACACGGGTTGCGTTGCGGTGGTGTGAGTTATGCACATGAATTACAAGCACAGGCCACTGTGCAGTTCCACGTTTACCTTTTCGAAAAGGCCTGGTGGAGGGAGGGGAAGCAGAAGGGATATTTTAAATCAAGTGATGCAATAAGCAGTACCACCGTTTTATTTATCTGTTTACTTCATTTATACATCACCTTTCTCTTCAGTGAGGGCCCGCAAAATGGCTTACGCTGTTCTCCTTTTTTTCTGTTTTATTGTCACGACAACCCTGTGAGGTAGGTGTGTGATTGGCCCAACAATTGTCACGACAGCCCTGTGAGGTAGTTGTGTGATTGGCCCAATGGCACCCAGAAAGCTTCCGTGGGAGAATGGGGATTCGAACCCAGGTGTCTCAAATTGTAGTCTGGTCCTCTAACCTTTGCACCCTCGCTTGCAACGTGGGATCTATCGGCATCCTTTTCCTCACCTTCACCATGCCTCAGATTAGGAAATTCATATTCTCCCGGGACACCTCTGTTCTTACATTACCTCTCATTGTTGCTAATTTTTTTTTTAATTGTCCACATAATTTCACAGAGTTCCATTTGTCTGGTACATGATGATGATGACTTTAAAGGCTTAAGAACAAAATGTAAAGATCTATTAAGGATACCAGTTAGGGAAAAGGATAGTTCCAGCCAGGGGTCATTTCCTGCAGGAGCACACAGGAGCGGAGCTCCGGCAGTAAAGAGCCCAGGGGGCGGGCACATGCAACAAGCCACACCCCCTGCTCCCAGCAGCCCTCAGTCAGAGCAAGAAGCAGCCAGGTAAGCTGCAGAGCCCCTCTCCGGCCCCCCGGCCCAAAACAGTCCAGTGGCACCTTTAAGACCAAGTTTTATTCAGTTACAAGCTCCCTCTCCTCTGCGAGGACAGATCTGCACGCCCCCCCCCCCCCAATGGCTAGCTATCCAAAAGAGTCCAGTAGAGCCTGAGCGGTGGGTGTTGCCTTCTGACACACTTCCGGTGATTTCAGCGGGTGTGGCATATGCAAATGAGTTATGGTAATGAGCTCCTGCACCTCTTTTTCTACGAAAGGACCCCTGGTTCCGGCCCTTAAATTCCAAGCTAAATATGATTATTCTTTATGGTGGAACGTGCCATCGTTACACCCAGCTTATGGTGACCTCATAGGCTTTTCAGTACAAGAGATAAACAGCAGAAGTTTGCCCCTTGCCTTCCTCTGCGTAGCGACCCTGGACTTTCTTGGTGGCCTCCCATTCAAGTACTAACCAGGGCCGACCCTGCTTAGCTTCAGAGATCTATGTAATCTGGCTAGCCTGGGCCACCAGATTAAATTGGTTATTCTTTAGGAACCCCTATATTTTTATCCAATATGCGTTTCTGCTCCCAGAATGACTACTAAACTAATAAATAGACCTGTGTTCTAGGTACGCATGTCAAAAGCACAAATCCCTGTTGCTTAAAAAAGGATAACTTTTCTATCTGTGCCACTAACCTCACATTATGCATTATGCAGTTCCATAACAAATGTTCTTAAACTGGGTCCGCCCCCCCCACATTTTAATCGGAAAGAGGCCTTTTGTTGTTGTTGTTCAGTCGCACAGTCGAGTCCGACTCTCCGCGACCCCATGGACCAGATCCCGCCAGGCCTTCCTGTCTTCCGCCGTCCTCTGAAGTTTGCTCAATTTCATGTTCGTTGCATCTATGACATCTAGGCCTTTAGATGTTGCCAAAAGTCTCTTCCCCATCCCCCAATCCATAATGGCGGCCTTCTCCCCTGCCGTGACTTCTCAACTGAGCTATTCTGCCTCAACAGCTCAAGAGACTGGATGAGGCTGTTTCTTCCGCTCACACATTCTTCGTGGCCAACCCTCAGCACTTACAGATGCGCGAGGATATGGAAAAATACCAGCGCATGGCGGGGGTGAAAGCAGAGAGCTTCCGGGATCTTGAGGCCATGCCGCATTGGGTAAGACCCTTATGGGAATTGGGGTGCTCTGAGGCTGTTCAGAAAGGCCGCTTTCTAGAGGCTGAGAGCCTTCTTGGGTAGAAAAGCTACTGCCAATAGAGAGAGGCAGGCCACGTTCTCTGAAACCTTTAAGGCCCGATGTGGTCCCCTTTTCTGGTGTCCGGCAAGTCTTTTCCAAAAGCGGGCAGGGCCAGGTGGGGCTATTGGCCACTGGAGATTTGATTGGCCGTGCAGATCTTTTAAAATGTTGCTCGGGCAGCAGCTGCCGCCACGTCACAAGGATCTTCACAGTGTGACTGAAGGTAAACTCCAGCAGCCGTTTTGTGGCTGTGCCCACTACGCTGTGTCGGAATTCCGAAGGTGCCCACAGACTCAAGAACGTCGTGAACCCCTGGATCTGTGTATTGCCAGTTTTTAAAATAAAAGTTAGCACAGCCTTCCGATGCTGCAGGGTGAGGGAATGGCCACCAGGAAAAATGGTGTAGACATGGGTGGGACCAGAAAATCTGTATATTCCATCCACATGGGGGCCACCCTGGCTTTGCTGTGATCTTTCCCAAAGCATCTCAGCAACGCAGGTTTGGGAAAGATCACAGAAAAGACGAGGGGAAATTTGGGTGGTCCACGAAAGCAGCACAGGGCTGTGGGGAAGCGGAACCAATGTTCCCTCTAAGCTGTGGAGTCTCGTGAGCAAAAATTCTACTTTGTGAGCAGTGTTCCCACTAAGCTGAGTTAGTGTGAGGTAGCTCACAGTTTTTTAGCTTCCAGCTCACCCATTTTCCTCTTAGCTCAGGAAGGATGGCTCCAGAGCAAACTAATTTATGCAGCAGCCAAATGGCTCACTCACAACTTTAGTGCCAGTAGCTGGCAATGTTCCCGCTAAGATGTGGAGTCTCGTGAGCAAAAATTCTGCTTTGTGAGAGACTGGCATTCAAGTTGTGAGCGAGCCATTTGGCTCCTGCATCAATTAGTTGGCTCTGGAGCCTTCCTTCCTGAGCTAAGAGGAAAATGGGTGAGCTGGAAGCTAAAAAACTGTGAGCTAGCATCTCAGCTCACAGTAACTCAGCTTAGAGGGAACCCTGGAGGGTACGCTTCCCAATAGCATCCCAGCAGGGGCAAGTAACCTTAACTGAGAGAGGCTGGCTTGTGTTGGTCCCTGATAGTAGGCATTGGGGCCCGGTGGGAGAGTGCCCAGGGCAGGGCAGGAGGCAGGCAGCATGCCTTCCTAACTCAGGAGAAGCTGAGGGCAACCCGACCAGGCCCCAGAAAAGCGGAGCTGAAAAAGCCAGCAAGGTAAATGGCAGCAAGCAGGTCCAGCCGAGGAACTCCCAACTGGACCTGTTAAACAGCCTGCCAAGCAATGCTTCCTCTAAGCTGTGGAGACTTGTGAGCAAAAATTCTGCTTTGTGAGGTACTGGCATTAAAGTTGTGAGTGAGGGATTTGGCTCCTGCATAAATTAGTTTGCTCCTTCCTGAGCTAAAGCCATCCTTCCTGAGCTAAGGCAAAAACAGGTGAGCCGGAGGCTAAAAAAACTGTGAGCTAGCTCACACTAGCTCAGCTTAGAGGGAATCCTGCTGCCAAGTATTCTCTTCCTGCTTCCTTTCAGAGAGGATGCTGGGAAGACGCAGCCGGGAGAGCTCAGGTGGCCTGAAGTGAGTCCATATTCCACGGCAGGGCCGCGCTGATTAGGGGTTCCTTTAAGGGTGAAGCACCCGTGTTTTGTTTATTTACAAAGTTGGAGTCCAGGGGCACCTTTAAGACCAAGTGTGTTTTATTCAAGGTATAAGCTTTTGTGTGCTTGTACACGTCTTCTAGTTCCAGCTCCTGCCAACCTAGCAGTTCGAAAGCAAGAAATTGCTAGTAGATAAATAGGTACCCCTTTGGTGGGAAGGGAACAGCGTTCCGTGCGCCTTGGTGCCTAGTCATGCCGGCCACATGACCACGGAAACGTCTTCGGACAGCGCTGGCTCTTCGGCTTTGAAACGGAGATGAGCACCGCAACCCTGGAGTCGGACTCGACTGGCTTTCGAGCAAGGGAACCTTTACCTTTACACTTCTTCAGATATAGATATCTCATACCCAGAATAAAACCTCGTTGGTCTTAAAGATGCCACTGGACTCAGACTTTGTTCTACTGCTTCAGACCAACATGGCTACCCCACCCGAATTTATTTATTTACATAGATCAAGATGGGTAGCCGTGTTAGTCTGTGTGTAGCAGCAAGAGTCCAGTAGCACCTTAAAGACGGACAAAATTTGTGGCAGGGTACGAGCTTTTGTGAGTCACGACTCACTTCTTCAGGTACACCTCCTTCAGATACAGTATCTGAAGAAGTGAGCAGTGACTCACGAAAGCATTCTGTTAGTCTTTAAGGTGCGACTCTTTTCTACTTATTTATTTACGTCATTTATACCCAGCCTTTCCCTCCAGTTAGGACCCCAAGCTGCTTACGTCATTCTTCTTGCCTCTGTGATCCACACAACAACCCTATAAGTTAGGCCAGGCTGAGAGTGCGCGTGATTGGCCCAAGTTCACCCAGCCAGCCTCCACTGGCAGAGCGGGAATTCAAACCCGGCTCTCCCAGATCCTAACGTGACACATCACTGTGCCACACTGGTTCTCTCCGGAACGCGCAGGAATGATCCTGTCCTCATAAACCGCCCACTGCGGATTCCCTTCCGCATTTGCTCCACTTCTCCGGAACTGATCCACGACTTTGTTCACCGGGAGGCTTTGCTTTCCAGATGGGAGATTATCTCCCTGGGTAGTAACGCGGCAGATGGCTGGCCCCCGTATAGTGTTTGCATCCCCCAGTGTATGCGGGTGGGGGGGGCTTTGCCGCTGAGAGACAGCCTGGCCAGGGGTAGGAAGCAGCTGGTGAAAAATACTTGTGGGAGGTAAACTCTTCCCTTCCCGGGGATGAGCACATGGTCTCCCATTGCAGCTGGGCGGGGTGGGGGGGAGCTTTTAAACGAAAAAATGGCAGGGCACAAAAAAACCCCAAAATTCATAACAGTATAAATCCAGGAGTTTTTGAGATAATGGCGTGACCTTATGCATGGGGAAGCGTGTCATTCGGTCCCCGTCGCTGGGGCCAAGAACCACAATGTCCCCCTTCCCCCGGGCACCATATCTAGCCCACATTGTGCCTCCTCTGGCCATCGTATCTAGGAGCCCCAAGGCATAGCTGAGGCACATTTCTTTTGCTGGATTAAAACTTCAGGCTCATCTCATACCCAATGTTCCCTCTAAGCTGTGGAGTCTTGTGAGCAAAAATCCTACTTTGCGAGCTACTGGCATTAAAGTTCTGAGTGAGTGATTTGGCTACTGCATACATTAGTTTGCTCTGGAGCCATCCTTCCTGAGCTAAGACAAAAATGCATGAGCTGGAGGCTAAAAAACTGAGCTAGCTCACACTAACTCGGCTTAGAGGGAACACTGCTCATACCTGAGGCCCTTTCAGTAAGAGTAAGAACTACATCCCCTCCAAAGAATTCCCTCCATGTAAAGCTCTAGAGTGTCGTGTAGCGGTTGGAGGGTCGGACTAACATCTGGCAGACCCAGGTTCAAATCCCCACTGCGAACCTTAATCCTGGTTATGTTTTCCTTATGTCCTCTCTGGATCTGCACATCAGATGTTCGTTGTGAATTGTGAGCTGGGGGCTTAATTTCCAGGCATGTGCAGACCGGTTTGGGACTGGCGCAAGGAAAGAGGGGGCTTATGCCTCCCCACCACCACCATTTTCCTGACCAGAGAGGCCGCAGAGAGCCATTATTATCTTAATAGAATTATAGAGTTAGAAGGGACCTCCAGGGTCATCTAGTCCAACCCCCTGCACAAGGCAGGAAATTCACAAATACCTCCCCCCCCATACCCCCAGTGACCACTGTTCCACGCCCAGGGGTTGTGGAACCGCTGTTCCATGCCTTTCTTCTCAGAAAAGGTATGTGAGCGATCGATCTAATTTATTACAGCAAGAGCCAGTAAAACGGTACAATTCTGATAGAAGAAGGATGAAAACAGTAATAACGTAGGAATAGTATAAAAACATTAACAAGAGAAAATTAATAAAATTAGTAAAATAAAATAGTGTTAATAAGAGAATCATACAATTCTTTCAGCAAAAATAAGTTTACGTTTCCTAATAGCTAAGCAACAAAATTTTGCCACAGCGTAAGTCAATGAGCTCTGAACGTCTTCTAAGAAGAATTTATGAAGGACTTCTGGCCTAAAGTCAAGATAGGACTGCAGAGGGCTAAATCTAGACAGAAGGGGTAGTATGAGATGGTCTCGTTTCTCCTGATAGAATCTGCAGAACAGGAGGACATGAGTAATTGATTCCACCATGTTAGCCATGCATGGGCATATACGTTCATGCATTGGAACTCGAGTGAATTTAAAAGGTATGCACGTACGTATTAAAAATTTATATCCCGCCTTTCCTTGAGGCTCTGGCATGACAGTGTCAAACCGATACATTAAAACCCAAGATACCCCCCCTCTCCTCCCAAAACATCCTTTCAGTTTTAACAAACGTGTGCTGTCAAGCTGCAACCAACTCTTGACAGCCCTTGGACCCTGGAGTTTTCAAGGCAAGGGAGGAGCAGAGGCGGTTTTGGCCACTGCCTGCCGCTGTGTAGCAACTCCGGGCTCCTTTGGTGGTCTCCCATCCAAGTACTAACCAGGGCCGACCCTGCTTAGCTTCCAAGATCTGAGGAGATCAGGCTAGACCATCAGGCTGCAGTTTAGTAAGATGGCATTTTAGCACCTCCTGAAGATTTCGAGCAATGGCGTTCCCTGACCTCCTGAGGGAGCCCCTTCCATAAAATGGGCGCTACACTGGGAAAGGCATTTGGTCTGGTAGGTTAGTGTCAGATGGGTCACTCGAGAAGTAGCCAGTTGTGGTGGCAGCCTCAGAATCACAGTTGGCACCAGGCCCGTAGCTAACACGGGGCCCATGGGGCCTGGCCCCCTAACGTTTCTTCCAGGGTCCCCAAACTGAGCCTTGGCTTCTCCTCCCCCTGAGCTCCACAGTAGCAATGTGCCTGTCAGTGAAACGGGGGCTGCATGGGATCGCAGGGAAGTCATTGCGCAGGACAAGGCACAGGATTCCAGCTGTGCACTCCGCAGCTCTGAAGTACACTGGTTTGCAGTTAGTCGATCAGCCCCATCTGAACCAGCACATTCTAGGGCAGGGAGGAAAGAATGTGCATAGTTCCATACAGACATATAATGGCTGGCCCCCTGAAGAAAAAATTGGCCCCCCTAGCAAAAGGTTGCTAGCTACGGGGCTGGTTGGCACAGGGGGACATACGAGAGGAGATGGTCCTTTGGGTATATTGTCGGGCTGCTTTTCCCAAAGGGGCAAACAGCAGCTCCCCAGGCCATTTCAGGTCTGGAAAGCAGCTGAGGGGGAGACTTTATCTCCCTTTCCCTGGGCACCGCAGCCCCGATCCTAATTGGGCCCACACATGCATGGGAATTAAGTTCCCGGCACACCACTCACAGTGCATGTCTAGTTATGTGGACCTGGGGTCAGTGTTCCCTCTAAGCTGAGTTAGTGTGAGCTAGCTCAGTTTTTTAGCCTCCGGCTCACACATTTTTTGTCTTAGCTCAGGAAGGATGGCTCCAGACAGAGCAAACTAATTGATGCAGTAGCCAAACCGCTCGCTCACAACTTTAATGTCGGTAGCTCACAAAGTAGAATTTGTGCTCACAAGACTCCACAGCTTAGAGGGAGCATTGCCTGGGATAACATGAGGAAAAGGTAACATGTTCTTAGGCCTTAGACTGCTCTCCCACACGCTCTCGCCTCCCACGTTTTTAGGCGAACAGTGGCCCCAGCCACACGGGAGGATTTGCCCCGCGAGAGGGGTGCATATCAAGCAGGCGTGATCATACCACAACAGCTGGAAAGCGGCGCACACCCGTCCCCGATCCGTCCCTTCCGGGCGAAGACGTGGCTCAAAAAGGTAGTTGCAAAGCAGCACTACCTACCGGTTGCCACGCAGCATGGGCGGGTGTCTGATCGCCGACGCGCCCGTCTCTCCCACAGCATGCGAGGTCCTGCCGAACTGTGCATGCACACGCATGCGCAGCGGGCTCGCCTCGCTCTCCGGTCCGTGGCTTCCCCCCGGCATCTGATCGTGCCAGGGAGGGACTGTGCGGCGGGCGTGGCTGGGGGGATCTGTCTGATCCTGCAGCCACTCTTCTCTTTTGATGCGGCTCTAAAAAGCCACACTTCAGCCGCGCCTTTCCCCCTAGTGTGACCGGGGCCAGTGAATTAAAATAATGTGGCTCAGAGAGGGATGCCAAGGGTGTGGGGAATTGGGGGACAAAATACCATGGTTCTGGGGGGGGGGGCATCCCAAGTTGTGTGATGTTTTGCTTTCATATGAGGTTTGGGTAGGTTCTTTTGTGTTTGTGTGTGCGAGAGAATACTTATTTGTGTGTGTGTGCTTGCAAGGCTGGAAGTCATGGTGACTTCTGGTGACCCCCAGTGGGGCTCGGACATTTCAGAGAGGCGGCTATGATATTACCTGCCTCTGCTTCCCAGCCCTGGTATTCCTCGGAGGTCGCCCTTCCAAGTACTTGCCGGGGTCGTCCCTGCTTGGCTTCCAAGACCTGACAAGATCAGGCTTGCCTGGGCTATCCAGGTCAGGGCCGGGTTGGGTCTTGTTGGAGTGAGGGAGACCCAGAGGGAGTCCTTTCCTGGAAGCCCATGGACAGGGTTGTCTGTCTTTACGTGGGGCCTTGAGATTTCCACGAATTACAACTGACCTCCAGACAACAGAGATGTCCCCCTGGAGAAAATGGCTGCTTTGGAGGGGGGACTCTGTGGCATTATACCCCTCCCTTCTGCAAACGCCACTTTTCCCAGGCTTTGCCTCCAAATCTCCAGGAATTTCCCAACCTGGAGTTGGCTATTCTACCACCGGGGGTGGGGTGGGGCTCTAGTCCTGAGAACTAGGCCTCTGCTTGCATGTGCAATTGCGACAGGCCCCTAGAGGGCAGCACTTCCTTATTAGACAGCCATGTTCCTGGGCTGTTCTCAAGACAGCAGTGACCGGGCCCTCCGTGGCTTTCTGGCTCCACAGGTGGCCTATGAAGCCGGGCTGCACCATTACAGTGCGGATGACTACCAGCAGGCGGTGGCGGAGCTGGAGGAGTCGCTCGGCGAAGGGCTGCTGGCGCTGCAGGACTGCCGAGCCCTCTGCGAGGGGCTGCAGGAGGAAGAAGAAGAGGAGGAGGAGACTCAGCTCGGCCTCTATGAAGCCATTGCAGGTAGCAGCAGTGGCCCAAGGCTGCCGGCTGGAAGTCTGTCTTTTTCTTTGGGTTTTTTTTTTTTTTTGTATTTTTCATATTTTTATTTAGTTACTTTATTTTATTGGCTCTGTATCCCGCCCTCCCCGCAAGCAGGCTCAGGGTGGGTTCCATCAGTATCAATACAATATATATAATACATTTCAAAACGACTTTAGAACAACCATTTAAGACAACATAGATTATAAAATGCCGTGTAAATTTGGTCAGATGTCTCAACAGTTTAGATGGTGGGTTCCTAGATGGCTATTCGGATCCAGGCCACTGATGGGGGATCAGTCGGGGGACGGGGGTGCTACCTCAACCGAAAGCTCAGTGGAAGGGCTCCGTCTTACAGGCCCTGTGGAACTGTAATAAATCCCGCAGGGCCCTGATGTCGTGTGGGAGCTCATTCCACCAAGTGGGGGGTCAAGGTCAAAAAGGCCCTGGCTTTAGTCGAGGCAAGTCGGACATCCCTGTGGCCGGAGACTACCAAAAGGCGTTGATCTGTAGTCCTCAGTGCTCTACAGGGCTCATATGTGGAAGTCATGGCGACCTCTGGTGACTGACCCCTACTGGGGGCCTGGAGGATATTCAGAGAGGTGGCTGAGTAAAGCCTGCCCCCACCTCCTGCCTCTGGTATTCCAAGGAGGTCTCCCATCCGAGTCCTTTTCAGAGTCGACCCTGCTTAGCTTCCGAGATCTGATTAGATCTGGCTTGCCTGGGCTATCCAGGTCAGGGCCCGGCTGGAAGTCTTAAGAATATCCTGGAGTTGGGAAGTGCACGTGGTACCAGGGGACCAAGTCACCTGAGTCAAAACACATTGCCCATGAACCTGCTTCCAGAAATTTTCCTCTTGAATATTTTGTCATTGAATATTCTCCAGATATTCTCTGGTTATTTGCTATAGATTCACACACACAAAAAGATGCTCGATGCACAAGTGCGCGTGTGGACTATGGAAAAAAAAAGGTTTTCTTTTTGCTATGATCCTATGTGGGGGTTACATCCGTCTGTCTTGTCTGTCTCTTTTTACGAACATTTGATTCCATGTCACTTTTCAGCTTCTGTGCACATTTATATCCCACAAATCTGTGGAGAATGTGAGACAGTAATCCATATGTGATGTTTCTTCATTTGTTTGGCTTCTCTCAAGATGGGAACGGTCTTACTCATGCTACAGCTCTTCCCTGCTGTGGGTTTGAATCTTCCATACACATTCTGGTAGCGGAGGCGCTTTTCTCTGAGGGAAAAAGCCTTTCCCCTCATGCAAGACCATCGCTGAGGCATCTTGAGTTCGGGGAAGGCTCTTTCCAGATCCGTGAGAGCCAACCCATTGTTTATGGCCTCCTTCTAAATATCTGAAGGAACACTATGTGGAATTGGATGTTACGCATCAATTGTATTTGACTGTGAGCTCCCTCAGCTTTCTCTCCTCCATAATGTCTACAAATTGCTTTCTTTCATTCTTCTTCCTTCTTCCCAAGCTTCTAATATTGATCGCTGCACCTCACCCATTTCACCTCTGCGTCAGAAACTGTTCTTCCTTTTATTTCCCCCCCCCCTTCTGATTGTTGCCAGTAAGTATTTGTGGACGCCTTCCCTGAACAGAACTGCTCTGGGGTAAAAAGGGGGGGAAATGTTTTTCTGGACTGCAGTTGTTTTCTTTGGGTGTTGAATTTCTCCCTTCCGCTAACACAAGGCTAGGGTTAGTTTGTATCTTTTTAATGATCGCGCTTAGATACGAAACTAAGGTGCAGCCCAATCCTGTGCAAGTTTACTCAGAAGTGAGTGTCACTAAAGGTAAAGTAAAGGTAAAGGTTCCCTTGCTCGAAAGCCAGTCGAATCCGACTCTAGGGTTGCGGTGCTTGTCTCCGTTTCCAAGCCGAAGAGCCAGCGCTGTCCGAAGACGTTTCCGTGGTCATGTGGCCGGCATGACTAAACACCAAAGTGCACGGAACGCTGTTACCTTCCCACCGAAGTGGTCCCTATTTATCTACTTGCAATTTCTTGCTTTTGAACTGCTAGGTTGGCAGCAGCTGGAACTAGAGACGGGAGCTCACTCCGTCATGCGGCACCTGGGTCTCGAACTGCGGAACTACCGACCTTCCACAGCCTGCAGTTCAGCGTCTTAACCACTTGAGCCACCGCACTAGTGAGGCATAATTTCCTTCCTCAGCTGTCCTGTGTGACCCTTCCCCAAAGCTGATGCTAGGTCCGAGGGACCCTTGTGAACAAACTTACAGGTGGCACAGGCAGGTGAAATGAGGAGGGGGGATTGGCAAAATCACCCCCCTCTTTTACTTTATCAGAGAGCATCTTCTGCTAGCAGAAGACGGGAGGGTGAGTCTGCCCAGTTCCACCTCCTCAAGGCAGCTCCTGTTGTGGTGTGGTATCTTCTCCAGGTGGGTCTCCGGGACTGCTCGGGGTAGGGGGAGAAGGACCGCCTCCGTAGGACCCAGCCCCACTGTATTTAGAAAGACTCTTATAAGAAAACGGACAGAAGGCCAAACTGGTGGCTACTTTCCATGAGACAAAGTTTACAGAGTGGGGACCCCGGACCTAGCCTGCAAACTCCTTCACTGCCATACTTTCCTTGCAAGCCCTAACCTGGATAGCCCAGGATAGCCCGATCCCGTCAGATCTCGGAAGCTAAGCAGGGTTGGCCCTGGCTAGTATTTGGAAGAGCAACCTTGAAGGAATACCAGGGTCGTGACACAGAGGCGGGCAATGGCAAACCACCCCTGAAACGTCTCTTGCCTTAAAAACAAGTTTAGCTCGCCACCTAGTGGTGCTAGAATTTCTGACTGCCAGACAATCTTAGGTTCTTCTGGCTATTCTGCGCACAGTGCCATACGATAATTGTTAACTATTATTATTCCTTGCAAGCTCTCCTCTCTTTCTGTATGTGCTGTTCCCACCTTGGATCATTATCTACCCCAGGGGCCCACCAACACATTTTCTGGTTTCCTCCAAGTGTTTTTAGAAAGTGGGTGGGGCCACCCAGCAAGGCTTCTGATTGGTCATTGGAGATTTGATTGGCTGTGCAGATTTTTAACAGCATTATTTTGGCAGTAGCTGCCACCACAGCACAAGTATCTTTACTGTGTGACCGAAGGGTAGGCAGTGTCAGCCATTTTGTGGCTGGGGCCACCTCATGCAGCAGCCATTTTGTGGAGGCCGTTTTGTGAATGTGCCCACCATACAGTGTCAGAATTCCAAAGGTGCTTGCAGGCTCAAAAAGGTTGGGAACCCCTGAGAGCCGGTTTGGTGCAGTGGTTAGGAGCGTGGACTCTACTCTGGGAGATCCAGGTTTGATTCCCTACTCCTCCGCATGCAGCTGCTGGTATGACCTTGGGTCAGTCACAAGTTCTCTCAGAGCTGTTCTCAAAAGAGCAGTCCTCGAGAAAAAAGAAGAAGAGAAAAGATTGGATTTATACCCCGCCCTTCACTCGAAGTCTCAGAGTGGCCTACAATCTCCTTTTCCTTCCCCTCCCCACAACAGACACCCTATGAGGTAGGTGGGGCTGAGAGAGCTCTTTCAAGAACTGCTCTTTCAAGGACAGCTCTTGTCAGAATTATGGCTTGCCCAAGGTTGCACCAGCAGCTGCAAGTGGAGGAGTGGGGAATCAAACCCAGTTCACCCAGATTAGAGTCCGCACACTTAACCACTATACCAAACTGGCTCTCTCAGCCCCACCTACCTCACAAGGTGTCTGTTGTGAAGAGGGGAAGGGAAAGGGATTGTAAGCAGCTCTGAGACTCCCTCGGGTAGTGAAGGGCGGGGGTATAAATCCAGTCTCCTCCTCCTCCTCCTCCTGCTGTTTGTTTTTTTCCTGTTAACTTGTCTCTGGCATTTTTTCTTCGATCTGCCCTTTTTCTTGTTCTTGATTCCTTCTGTTTCCTCTGCCCCTTGACACCATTTACTTGGCAAATGAACAGCCAGTCCTGAGCGGAGCCTCATTCTGCTACATCCACTCCTCCGCTATGTCTCCCCTCTGGTTCCATTTACTCCAAACGTTGGTTCGCCTGAGTGTTTTGTGTTATTTTATTGCCCTCTGCTATTTCACCCTTAAGTCACAGATCAGTTGACAGCTTCTGCTATTTCATGCCTGCCAAATCTAAAACATTCCAGAAACTGTCAATATGTCCACAGCATTCATAGTTCAGACTCTGGGATAAAAATTTGACAACTTGCAGATTTTAGCATTTCATATTCCGGATATGAATGGTGGAATTGGAAATGTTGGCAGGTATCGGGCGTCTGTGGACATTGGTTTCAGGTCTAGTCTCCCTTGGGGATCCCTGGCAGGAAAGGGGTTCCCTGGAAAGTGGGACCTCCTGCAGTCTTTCCAGAGCCCCTCTGCAGTGTTTCAAAACCATAGAGAGACTTTCACAAAGGGTCACTTGAGGTCAGCACCACTGTTCCCTCTAAGCTGAGTTAGTGTGAGCTAGCTCACAGGTTTTTAGCATCTGGCTCACACATTTTTATCTTCGCTCTGGAAGGATGGCTCCAGAGCAAACTAATTTATGCAGTAGCCAAATCACCTGCTCACAACTTTAATGCTGGTAGCTCAGAAAGTAGAATTTTTGCTCAACATTCTGGATTTATGCCCCACCCTTCACTACCTGAAGGAGTCTCAGAGCAGCTTACAATCCCTTTCCCTCCCCACAACAGACATCCTGTGAGGTAGGTGGGGCTGAGAGAGCTCTCAAGAACTGCCCTTGAGAGAACAGCTCTGGAAGAACTTATGACTGACCCCACCAGCGGCTGCATGTGGAGGAGTGGGGGATCAAACCCGGTTCTCCCAGATAAGAGTCCGCGCTCTTAACCACTACACTGAACTGGCTCTTAAGACTTAAACTCATGGGCCGACGATCAAACGGCAAGACAGCACAATTACAGAAAAGATGGACCAGACAGGGACCAAGGAACATGAAGAATCACAAACACACAGTTACAGAGGACGGAGTATTAGAACATATAGTTGAGTTACTGTACTGGTAACCATCATGTTCTCTCTTTGCCTCCCAGCCCACTACATCCAGGTGTTGAAGTGCCGGCAGAAATGTGTCCTTGACATCTCCACCAAGCCGGGGAGGGTTTCTTCCGTAGAGGACTTCATCCCTTCTCATTTTGACCTGTTGCAGTTTGCCTATGACCAAGGTAAACAGGCCCTGCGTGTGCTGAGAGGAAGCCTGGAGCTGTTCCCCTCTGTCGTGGCAGGGAGCGTTGCTGGAGCAGGGGGAGGGTGGCAGGGGCGAGCGCCTCGAACTTCTGCTCTCTTTCAGTCGGGAACCAGGCCCTCGCAGCCGAATGTGCAGCGACCTACTTACTCTTCTACCCGTCGGACGAGAGGATGCTGGAGAAGATGAAGCAGTATCGGACGGCACTGGGGGCAGAAGCTCCTGTTGTCCCCAGAGAGGTAATGGTGATATCCGCCCAGCCTGGAATCTGTCTCCCTGGTCCTCCTAGGCCAATGAGGCTCAGTTCCTACACGCAGGGTGCAGGCCAGAGATTGCCTGGTGCATTCCAGTTCCCGTGGAGAAGATCTCACATGAAAAGAGTGACCGCCCTACAAGAGGTGGTCAACGGACTGCAGTCAGGGATTTTTTTGTAGAAAAAGCCCAGCAGGAACTCATTAGCATAATAGGCCACACCCAACAGCAGGAACTCATTAGCATGTTATGCCACACCCCTGACAGCACAGCATATTAACATATTAGGCTACACCCCCATGTTACCAGAAGTGTGGTCATCCAGCCACACCCACCTTTTGCTTCTTATTCTGTTTACCTTGTTTGTTGTCAAAACGCAGGGCTTTTTTTTACTGGGAACTCCTTTGCATGTTAGGCCACACACCCCTAATGTAGCCAATCCTAATGAGTCTCTGCTGTTGGGTGTGGCCTGTTATGCTAATGAGTTCCTGCTGGGCGTGGCCAACTTGGGAGCCAGCCGGAACTCCGTTCCTGTGCGTTCCTGCCTCAAAATAGCCCTGGCTGCAGCCAAATATTCCGCAAAACCAAGAATGCTTCCATATCAGCCTTTTAAATGTTCATTGTGATGTTGTTTGTTAGTGAGGGCAGGAGTGAGTGGCTCCTGCAGCCCTAGGGCAGGAGGGTCGAAGGAACCCGAGCGGCACGGCAGAGGTTTTCCTCTGGGCACCTGCTGGCATCCTCAACAGGGCCACTGGTCAGCAGCAGTGGCAGCAACAAGTCACTTCCCGAAACGTTGTTTAAAATTTAGTTTTATTTATTGGGAGTACTCCTATGCCACCTCTTCAGAGTCTTGCTTGAGGCAGCTTACAATTAAAAACAGTTATACAATGCTGAGGATTTCCAGTAAAACTCACTGAGGGTTGTTCTTTTTTTAATGTTTTCCCTGAGAGAGAAAGAGAGGGCCAAACTACATGTTTGGGGTTTTTCGAGAGTTGTTATCAGACAAGACCAAAATATCACAGGACTGAACGTTGATGGAGAAGAATTTAAGTTAAAAAGCTATGCGGATGATGTTGTTTTAACAGTACTTAATCCACAAAGAACAATGCCATTTGTCATGGAACACATAGAAAGGGTTGGTTTATTCTCTGGATTTAAAATTAATCGGGGGAAACTAAAATAATCTCTAAATCTCTTACAAAGCAGAAAGAGGAAAATATTAAGGCAATTACTGGATGTGATGCCACAGTCAACTTGATTAAATACCTGGGAATAACTGTGTCGGGGGTAGAGATGTAAAATTTCCAGAAATTTTGAAGCTCGGGAAAAAACCCAGGTTTTTTCGTTTTTTTCGGGGAAAAACTGAAATTTTTGGGAAAATTGAAAAAAATGCTCCATTAGCATTTCTTTTGTCTTTTCTAGATTGAAAGTCATTCTGTTACTTTAGGAACATAAAATATGACTTATGGACATTTTTACTTGGCATGAAATTATCACAACTAGCATATTAAAAATATAGTGTAGCCAAACAATTATTACAAACAGAATACCCACCCACATGCAAAAACAAAACTGAAACCTTTTTATTTTCTTCTGACAATAGCACCTCCTAAAGGAAGAAATGCATCTTGTTCTTGCATTGGAGAGTTCAGTTTGTAACTTAACATAAAACGTTCCATAATCAATTTTTTTTCTTTTCTTTTTTCAATTTTTCCAATTTTTCGGAAAAAAACAAAAAAGGCTTCAGGGAAAAAACGGGGAAAAAATTCCCCAAATTCTCTGTTTTTTTTCCGGGCCTTCACATCTCTAGTCGGGGGGGGAAATGACATGCTTTTTCAAGAAAACGATGAAGCAGTATGGAAGAAAATACAAAAAGATTTGGAAAGGTGGTCCAAATTAAAACTGCCTTGGCTTGGTAAAATCTCCGCAATAAAAATGAATGCGTTGCCAAAAACAAACTTCTTATTTCAAATGCTTCCAATGGAGATCCCTGACAAAACTTTGAAGAGCTGGCTTATTGAGAGCATTTCTATGCCGCCTTTTCCAAGCCTCCCTTGAGGCAGTTTACAATTAAAAACAGTTATAAAATCCTGAGAATTTCCAGTAAACATCACTAAGGGGTGTTTTTTTTTTTTAATGTTCTGGGTGTTTTTTCCAAGAGTTGGGTCCTGCATAGCTACACAGCAGCTGCAGGGAAGGGCTGTTGAAAATAAAGGAGAGGAACTTTGGGTTCGGAAACCACTGTGGGTGGAAGAAAGGCTCCTGCCTTACCTCTGCAAGCTATTTTCTCAAGGCAAAATAGCACTGGGAGGGCAGTTATTGCTCCATTTTTGCTGTTCCACGTGTATTCTGTGCATGTGGAGCAGCAAAAATGGGGAAATGAGACCACTCCAGCACTGTTTCGGCATGGGAAAATGGCTCGGGGGGGGGGAGACACCTGCCTCCTCCAGCAACAGCCTTCTGAGCCCAAACAGCCTAACAGCCATTCTCTGCAGCCCATACCCAGATTTTTTAAAACCTGTGCATCTAAAGTTTGGGCCAGAGAGAAGAGAATTCATTGCCAGTGCAGACGGTGGTGTATATTTTCTGGAACAGTCTGCGGAGGTTATTCCCATTCAAGTAAAGCTGGAGCTGTTCTTACAGGGCGTGGCGTGAACAGCTTAATTTTATCCACAGGTAATTCGCAGTTACGTACAGAGGTCTCTCATGGAGAAGAAACTGATTTACTACGCTGTGGAGCACCTTGGGGAAACTTTCGATGACCCTGTAAGTAGGGGTGGCCTCCTTTGGAGGGGGAGGGTCCTTCTAGGCCTCATCTCCTCATAGTGACTTTCTTGTTTTTCTCACCTATGGAACCCAGTCTGTCAAGCTGTTATCTGGGCATTTGGCTTGAAAGTACGGAAGAGCTCTTTCCTCCTGTTCTAGCGCCTGGCAGAAGTCATGAGCAGGAAGAACCGGCATCTTAAGGGAACAGAGCAGGGTGTTTCCAGACAGCTTCTGCTGCTTGAGGGTGGCAAATTCCCAAAGCCAGGAGCGTGAGGAATATTCTTGATAAAGACACAAGTCATTTATTTCCCTCAAACCGGAAACCTCTGTGCTCACTGAAGGAAGCCAGCCAGTCAAACCGCTTAGTCTGTTGTGGTCCCACAGTGATCCCTGTTGTGTGGACTGGTTGGGGTATGTGTGAGGACTGGGTATATTGATGTGTTGTGGTGGAGCCGTCTGCCTCTCGGGAGTGGCAACACAAACCACAGGATCTGTGTCCTCTGGTGTGCAGCGGAAGGGGAGGAGAATTGGGCATGGGTCTGTCACAGTGCAGCAACAAAGTCCCTATGGTTTGTTTTGGTAGGATCCGTGGACTCCGGAGGAGTTGATCCCTGAGAGCATGAAGGCAAAACACAGGTAAGCGCCAAATGTGTTCTGAGGCTGGGTGGGGCGAAGGGGCAGCACCTCGAAATCTCCATAGAGAGAGGTGGCTCCTTTTTAGTGAAAGATAGATTCACTGGTATGGTAAGCCAGGAACCTGTACCACAGCAGAGCTCCTTTGTTCTACATGTGCCAGCAAAGTCACAGAGTTACACAGAGCCACTTGTCAGTTCCAAAACTAACAAAGGCCCCGGTCACACGGGAGGTTTTGGGCCGGAAGAGGGACGGATCAGGGGCGCAGCAAACGGGCGCGAGCATACCGCAACATCTGGGAATCGGCATGCATCCGTCCCCGATCCGTCCCTTCCGGCCTAAAACCTGCTGCAAAAAACCCCAAGTAAAAGGTAGCACCAACCTGGAACAGCGCAGCAAGTGCAGCCGTGAGATTGCCAGCGCACCCGTCTGCTGGAGCAATTGAGGCTCCTGGCCAAACTGCACACGTGCACACATGTACAGTTTGGCTGCCTCGCTCTCCCTGCAGTGGCTTCCCCCCCGCATCTGATTGTGCCGGGGAGCAACTGCGCGGCGGCTCAGGGGATCTATCTGATCTCGCCGCCGCGTGTCTCTTTTGGTGCGGCTTTAAAAAGCTGCATTTCGGCGGTTCTCCCCCCCCCCCCCCCCGTGTGGCAGGGGCCAAAGAGTTCTTTATTTGGTGAACTCCATTCTAGATAGGATAGATGAGAGATAGGGGTAGAATCTAACTACCTGGATGGACCCAAATGCAGAACGCATCTACGTCCATTGTGCCAAAGATGAAGAGCAACCGTGCCTCATTCTTTGTGTGTGCGCACACGAGGCAGAGGTGTGAATGAAAGGAAGGAAGCAATTCCCTGAGAGTATCACTTTACACATCAAAGGGACAGAGGCAGAAGAGTAAACAGGAAGGAAACCCACAGTTTGCCTGTCTATCTATCTGACTCTCTTGTAAACTCCACCCCCCCCACCCCCAGGCTGAGGCTAAGAGACAGTGTCTGGTCCTTCTCTTCCAACATTTAACAGCACAAGCAGTTAAGCAGAAACCAAGCACAGAAGTGCTTGTTGCTGAGCTTCTCAGTTGGGGAGGGGGAGCCTCAAGGCCTTCGGCCCTGTTACTGACAGCCTTTTCTGCATTTTCCCAAGAGAAGACCAAGAGCGTCAGAGGCTGGAGGCCCCAGATATGGAACAGCAGCAGCCGCAGCGGCAAAGAGGTGAGTGGCTGAGGCAGAGCCACAGGGCAGTGGAAAGGCCACAGCCATCTTACGGCAACTCCTCATGGGTGTCTTTCGAGGTAAGACACAAATGGAGGTGGTTTGCCATTGCCTGCCTCACCTGGCAATTCCTGTCTTCCTTGATGGTCTCCAATCATGAGAACGTAAGAGAAACCATGCTGGATCAGGCCAGTGGCCCATCCAGTCCAACACTCTGTCTCAGACAGTGGCCAAAACCCAGGTGCCATCAGGAGGTCCACCAGCAGGGCCAGAACCCAGAACTCCAGAAGCCCTCCCACTGTGGCCCTCCAAGCACCGAGAAGACAGAGCATCCTGCCCCAGACACAGTGTTGCATCTGCTCCATATGTTTATCCAGTCCTCATCCAAGTGTGACTTGACGGCACTTTCCACCCTCATAATAGAACCTGACAGGATGATGCTAACAAGTTTTGATAACCACAGAAGACATAACAGGGAACTGTGAGAAGAGCAGATGTCCCCTCCTTTGCATTCCTTTAGGCCCAGGGCAACAGCTCGGGAGGATTTCCTTATCTGTGCACATCTACAGGATCCTGCTGCCTTGGAAGCTCTAACCGGCACAGAATGTGGCTGTCAGAAGTGGTGGGGGAGGCGTTGGTTTCTTCTTGTTCTGTGCCAGCTACAAGTTCATTTCTGGGTTCAATCTAAGGTGCTTGTTTTCACCTCTAAAGCTCTTTGTGATTTGGGAACGGCATCCCTGAGGGACTTAAGCCAGAACATCAGTTAAGATCAGATGAGGAGGGTGAGAAACCAAATTTTAGGTCCTTGTACCAGTAGATTCTCACAGAGCTGCAGGCCTCTTAAATTTGTGCAGAGGATGCGAAACTTTCCTGTTTTAGAAGACGACTTGACTGATTTAAATGCCTGTTTTTTGCTGCCGTGTATTGTATTGGTTTGATTTGTTGCTTCTTGTTGGGAAAGAGGTATAAAATGCTTTAAATAAAGATGTTTCATCCCACTCCAGGCCCGCTGCCGTTTGAGGGTGTGACCATCGCCATGGATTCCCAGCAGCTCAATGGCTCTCAAAGGGTCGTCTTGGACAGAGTCCTGACAGAATCAGAATGCAAAGATGTCCTCCGCCTGGCCAAGGTGAAGACAGGTGCCAGCCTAACTTCAACGCCACCCTCGCCAACAGCAGAAGAGCTTGTGGGGGTACAGGGAACAATACTGGAGAGCCAGTTTGGTGTAGTGGTTAAGAGTGGCGGACTCTAATCTGGAGAACTGGGTTTGATTCCCCACTCCTCCACATGAAGCTGGCTGGGTGACCTTGGGTGAGTCACAAGTTCTCTCAGGCCCCGGTCACACGTAAGGGTTTGGGCCGGGAGAGGGACGGATCAGGGGCGCAGCAAACGGGCGCGATCGCACCGCAACATCTGGGAAGTGGCGCGCCCCCGTCCCCAATCCGGCCCTTCAGGCCAAAAACCCGCTGCGAAACACCCCCCCACCCCTAGAGGTAGACTTACCAGAAAGGCCGGGGCAAGCGCAGCCATGGTATCGCCGGTGCGTCCTTCTGCCGGTGCATCCAAGGCTCCTGGCCGAACTGCACATGCTCACACATGCGCAGTTCGGCAGCCTCCCTCTCTGCTTCGTCGCTTTCTCCCCGGTCTCCTCGGCATCTGATCGTGCCGGGGAGCAAGTGCGTGGCGGCTCACGGGATCTGTGTGATCCCGCCGCCGCGTGCCTATTTTGGTGTGGCTTTCAAAAGCCGCACTTTGCCCGCGCATTCCCCCCCGCCCCGTGTGGCAGGGACCAGAGCTGTTTTCTCAAGAGCACTCCTCGAGAGAGAGCGCTTTCTCAGCCCCACCTACCTCACAGGGTATCTGTTGTGGGGAGAGGAAGGGAAGGAGATTGTAAACTGCTCTGAGACTCCAATCTCTTCTTCGTCTTCGTCTTCTTGGTCTTCTTCATCTTCAAAAGGAGTTAGACAGATTCATGGCAGAGAGGTCCATCAGTAGCTGTCAGCCACGGTTGCTGAAGGGAGCCTCCACCTCCAGAGGCAGTGAACCTCTGAATCCCAGTGCTGTGAGGCCGCGTCAGGAGTAGGCCTCGGCCTCTATGTCCTGTTTGTTTACCAGTGGGTCACTGCGTGAAACAGGATGCTGGCCTAGGACCACTGGTCTGATCCAGCAGGGCTCTTACTTATGTCCTTCACATCTTCATCTCTGCTCCAGGCAGCCGGTGGATCAGGAGACGGGTATCGCGGCCGGCGTTCACCGCACACCCCACATGAGAGATTTGAAGGGCTGACGGTGCTCAAGGCCTTGCAGGTAAATGTCTGGGGAACTTTGGAAGGAGCCCATCCCTAGTCCTGCAGCATGGGTTTCTTCACGAGGCCTCCTCAGGGGCTGCAAAGGGACCCCAAACTAGGCTGTGAAAACCGTGGGTCAGAATATACGGCCAAGGGAAGAAAGTTTTGCTGGACGGAGACGAATCATATTTTTAAGAGCGGTGAAGCGGCTATGAGACAATGATCATTGCTTGCTTCCTTAGTGCTCCTGTAGCCCGCTTCAGGCATACAGTGCACAGGAGTCTACGTGTTGGGAGTGCGTATTACTCACAACCCTCCTGATACACACAATTGCTCTGTTATGCAAATGTGCATATTTGGCACTTGGTTACAATCTCTGTGTATGCTAGACAAAACTCAGACTGTTCCAAGCCTGTAGCTAGATGATTTTCAGGGGGGTGGCACTGGATGGAGGAGGGACGGGGGGAGAAGGGTTGGGTGATAAAATGGGTTAAAGGCTCTCCTCGGGCTGGGCTTGGGCGCACACCTACCAGGGAAGAGGGCTGGGGCACGGCTGTGGAGCACGCAGGGGAGGGTGCACCAGAGACTCTCGCGCAAAGGTGCTTCACTTTTAACAGCCAAGCACATGGCTGGCCGGCCAACCAAACGGGGCTCTTCCTCTGCTGGGAAAGTGCCGGCATTGGGACGGCTGGCGGGGGCAGCATCGGGAGGCTTCCCGGCCAAGCCGTGGCTACTTAGAGCTGGTTTATGGCGTTCTGGCGAGACAATGGCATTGGCAGAGAAGTAGGGGATCATCTTGGGGCAGCAGCGGGAGTGGCAGCAGCCGGCGGCAGGAGCGGGGGGGGAATTGAAAATTCAGGAGGGGGCATCGCCCAGTGCGCCCCGCATGAGCTATGGCCCTGGACTGCTCAGGTTTTTGGCTTGAGTGCCGCGATCCTGAAAATCCATGTGTCGCCTCTTCCTGACGACATGGGTGGGGTGGGAGTGGAATCTACCCATGGCTAACAGGCCCCCTGGTGTCCCCACTGCAATGTTTGGAAAGGGCTTGCATTTGGAATTGCACATCACCTGTGAATGGATGTAGATCCTGACAGCAGCTTGGTTCAGGGAAAAGCAGCTTCAGGAGAAAGTGGTTTTCAGCAAAGGAATCCTTAGTCCTTCTCCTCTCTGTTGCTTCTCTGCTCTGTATCAATTCTCTCCCCCCCCCCCCATTTTACAAAAACATTCATAGGAGGGTTCACAACTCCGCAGGTAAAAATGGCTAAAGGGAGGTGATTTGGAACAGAGAGGGGGCGGGCAGGCACCTGGACAAAGGACGGTCCGAAATAACTGGACAGACTACATGGGAAAGCACAGGAGAGGCCTGCAACAGAACAGTCCAGACCCCAAACTGATGGGGAATATGGGAGGCGCATTTCTTTCCAAAGCAAGATGTTTCTGGCGATGCTTTCCATTCCTTGATTTTGCAAGTGTCCTTCAGTTTGGTGTAGTAGTTAGGAACTCTAACCTGGGAGAACCGGGTTTGATTCCCCACTCCTGCACATGCAGCTGCTGGTGTGACCTTAGGTCAGTTACAAGTTTTTTCAGAGCTGTTCTCTCAGGAACAGTCCCCGAAAGAGCTCTCTCAGCCCCGCCTACCTCACAGGGTGTCTGTTGTGGGGAGGGGGAGGGGGAGGAGATTGTAGGCCGCTCTGAGACTTTTTCGGGTAGTGAAGGGTGGGGTATAAATCCAATCTCTTCTTCTTCTTCTCTTCTTCATTTGCAAGGTCTGGAGGTGTTACACCAGTGAAGCTTCTTGGCTTGATTGCTTTCTCCTGTCTTTGCTTGCCTGCTTTTGGTCAGTGTTGGATCAGTGGCCTTCTTCAAGGTCTGTTTGTTGCCGGCCAGCAGGAGAGCCTTTCCATCATGCTCTGCTTTTAGGTCTTGCAAAATGGCCACTATTGCCGATCATGCAGGGATGTAGCAGAACATCCAGTAGCTTGCAAGGATCCTCAGGTTTCAGTTGAGCCAGGAATCACTATTAACGTAGCAGCAGGCACTAGGCATTTCCACACAGCAAAGCTTTGGCACTGAGTGTGCTAGCAGACTTAAGATACATAGAGCCAGTAGTCAGATTTAAATCTAATGTTCTTTATTATATGGAACATTCTGTTGGAAGTTCCAGGTACAATGTCCCTGCCTCAGCCTCCAGACCTTGTGGCAAGAGAGACTGGATAGCTAGATAGGCACACTGGCCTTTCCTTCCTGTGTTTACTCTTCTGTCACTGCCCCCTTTGAAATTTAGATTGTGTTCTCAGGGACCATTTCCCTTCCTTCCGTTCACACTGAATGTGCTAGCAGACTTAAGATACATAGAGCCAGTAGTCAGATTTAAATCTAATGTTCTTTATTATATGGAACATTCTGTTGGAAGTTCCAGGTACAGTGTCCCTGCCTCAGCCTCCAGACCTTGTGGCAAGAGAGACTGGATAGCTAGATAGGCACACTGGCCTTTCCTTCCTGTGTTTACTCTTCTGCCACTGTCCCCTTTGAAATTTAGATTGTGTTCTCAGGGACCATTTCCCTTCCTTCCATTCACTCTCTCAAACGAAGCTCCCCCTTCTCCCTGCGCACACCATGAGAGAGACATGTGGTCCTCTCTTGAAACCATGAGGCAGATGGCTCTCTGCCATCTGCTTCCATCCTTAGCTAGTAAGTTAGTACTCTATCCCGTCCCTACTCTTTCCTATCCAAAAGTGTTCTTCTCCCATAAAGAGAGAAGTATTTCTCTGTTAAACTTGCAACATGGCTCTGTGTAGCTTTGTAAACTGGGTAACCTGGTAAAGTGGCGCTGCTGCATTTGTAGCTTTATTTAAAGAGCACTGCTAACTAGTGGGAACTGGACAAACTACACCAGTTAACCCCAACACATTCTAGACTGGATAGATGAGCGACAGGGATAGAATCTATTCTAACTACCTAGGATGGGTATGGATGCAGGGAAGAGTGCGCCTGCATCCACTGTTCAAAGACGGAGAGAAAATGTTCTCCTCTCTGTGTGTGAGACGAAGTGTGTGAGAGAGTCAGGTGTCAAGCCTGAAGGAAGGAATCTCATCCCTAAGAATAGCACTTTACTTCAAAGGGGATAGGACCAGATAACAGGAAGGAAAGGATGCTCTCTGTGTGTCCTGACCTGTCTGTCTGACTAGATCTGTGGTGACCTGAAGACTGAGGCAGGGGACAGCACCGAGTCCTTCACTTTTCTAACAGGAAGGAGGTGAATGAATGAATGAACGGGGGTGGGGGGTCTCAGCCCAAAGGAGCACTGCAGCTCCCTCCTCCCCTTTCTCTGTGTGCCTCTTCCATGTTGCAGCTTGGTACGCAACTCTTAAAGGAAGAGGATCTATTCTCTGCCTTTTGCCAACATTCATTAGGGAGGTTCTGGTTTTGGGTTTTTTTCCCCTTTTTGTTCAACACACCACACACACACACACACACAATACCCAAGCGCGCCTAAACGTCATACTAATTACACAGATGTCAACGTGCTGTTTTGCACCAATGTGTGTCTCCTCCCCCCCACATCTGCAGCTAGCCGAGGAGGGCACCGTGAACTGGAGGGATGCTAAACTGCTCCTACAAGCCAGCGAGAAATCCCGGGAAATTGTGGAATCCTATTTCACCCCTGAGAAGAAACTCTACTTTTCGTTCACGCACCTGGTCTGTCGCACGGCTGCCGAGGGTAAGGCCCTCTTGATACCGCACCCACCCATCTGCCTTTTACTCTTACATGCTGAAGACGCACGCACGCGAAAGCGTATTACCCAGAATTAAACCTTGTTGGTCTTAAAGGTGCCACCGGACTCAAACTTGGTTCTGTTGCTTCAGACCAACACGGCTACCCACCTGAATCTATGCTGACCTAAACGGATCAGAAGTCTTCTGCACTGATAAATAGCGTTTGTTTCTGCTGGTAGTGATAGTGTGCAGCTGGGAAACTGAGGACTGACTGTTGCAGGATTGAACTATTACTCAGAAAAGAGTGGGAGGCAAAAGAGGAACAGGTATGAACTCAGGAACCAAATGCAGATATGACTTCAGTAACAGTTCTGAGTGCACGCCCGAGGGATGAACGATAGGTTACGCTCAGGTAGGTAGCCCAGAATAAAATGTTGTTAGTCTTAAAGGTGCCACTGGACTCAGACTTTGCTCTATAGGTTACGCTGCCCTTGTATCCGTTCCGTCTGCCTCCCCCAAGGTGTCGTGCTCAGAACTTTAATTCCAAGGTGCGCTTCAGTCCAGAATTCCCCCCCACACTCTTCCTAACGTGAAAAGACCCTAGGGAGCCGTTATTTGCCCCACGGGGAAGACTTATGTGTACAAATGGACTTAGTGTAAGTTTCTCCAGCTGGGCAAAAGGCCTCCTCCCCTGGGCCATTTCAGGTCGAGGAAATAATGTGTGTATCGGAGGGGGCTAAGCCCCCTTCTCCCTGTATGTCAAGTTCTTGATCTGAATCAGGCCCCCACAACCATGGGAATCAAGTCCTAAGAGCTGAACTCCCAGTGCGTGGCTGGTATCCAATATTTGGAGAATAGTTTATTTTATTGTATTTTCTCTTGTTCTTCCTCCTACGAAGTTCAGTCTCCAGTGGCAGAGCTGGGAAGGATCTCTGACTGAGGCTTTTGGGAGTCGTTGTTAGTCGGAGTGGAGAATAGCGTTCTGGATGGATCAGTGGGGCAACTCCTCCCAGGTTAAGAGTGGTTCAAAGGCCCTTTTAGTGTCGTTTGTGAAAATGCCTCTAGGTGGCCCCACGGGTGGCAGATCTGTGGCTCTTCTTAAGATCCCCCCCCGCTATTAAGACTCCCTGCACGGGGACAGCCACACCAACGGAGGCCGCGATCAACCGCCTGCTTTAGACAGCCAATTCTGTCTGATATTAAAGGTGGCGGACTGGGGGGGGACGGCCGATCAGAGCTGCAAAGCGTCATCTGCAGGGATGTTCTGCTGTACAGTCCGTCCCGATAGGGCAGGGGGGTTTAATTTCAAGGAGGTTAGCCCAGGAGAACTTCCCTGTGGACGGAGTCCTGTTCCAGATAGCGAGTGAGTGAGTTTGTGTGTCTGGATTTTCTTTCTACAGCCCTAAAATGTCTTGGGCTGTCCCGGTCCCTTGTAGAAAAAGTGCCGCAGCCGTACGATTTAATAATAATTGTGTGGCATCAAGTCTCAGGGGACGCGTGGTGACCAGGGGTCATTTCGTAGAAAAAGACGTGCAGGGGCTCATTAGCATAACTCATTTGCATATGCCACACCCCCTGACATCACCAAACATGTATCAGAAGGCAACATCCACCACTCAGGCTCCACTGGACTGTTTTGGATTGCTAGCTATTGGGAGGGGGGGGGAGAATGTGCAGATCTGTCCTCGCAGAGGAGGGAGAGCTTGTACCTGAATAAGACTTGGTCTTAAAGGCACCACTGGACTGTTTTGGGCTGGGGGGGGGCTCTGCAGCTTATCTGGCTGCTTCTTGCTCTGACTGAGGGCTGCTGGGAGCAGGGGGTGTGGCTTGTTGCATGTGCCCGCCCCCTGGGCTCTTTACTGCCGGAGCTCCGGTCCTGTGCACTCCTGCAGGAAATGACCCCTGGTGGTAACCCCAGGACCATGAGGTTTTCGAGGTAAGAGACGAGCAGAGGTGGCTTTGCCGTCACCTGCCTCTGTCTGCATAGCAAACCCAGTCTTCCTTGGTGGTTTCCTATCCAAGTATTAAGCAGGCCCCACCCTGCTTAGCTTCCAAGCTGCAATGAGGTCATAGAATGACAGAGTTGGAAGGGGCCTTGCAGGCCATCCAGTCCAACCCCCTGCTCAAGGCAGGATCAGCCTAGAACAGTGGTGGCTAACCTATGGCACGGGTGCCAGAGGTGGCACTCAGAGCCCTCTCTGTGGGCATGCGTGCCATCACCCTAGCCGGGCCCAGACCATCATTAAAGTGTCGAATTCTCTGCCAAATAATTGTAAGTAAATGAAAGCATTTGGAATTGCTTTCCTTACTTTGTTTGGATCATCTTAAGTTAATGTCTGAGTTGTTTTTTCTAAAGTAAAACCTCAGTATTCAGGTTAAATTGCCGTGTTGGCACTTTGCAATAAATAAGTGGGTTTTGGGTCGCAGTTTGGGCACTCGGTATCTAAAAGGTTCACCATCACTGGCCTAGAGCATCCCTAACAAGTGTTTGTCCAGCCAGGCAAGCCAGGGCTATTGAGCCATAAACGTCCACGTAAAATCCGAAAATGAGAAGAAAACCGGCTCAAAGTGTTGTGCCAGCTTTTGAACTCACTAGTTGTTCACCAGGCTGAACGTGACAAAACTTAAGAAGGCAGAACTGGCAGGCTGTGATTTGAAGGTCTGGTCTTGCAGGCATCCTTTGTGAGATGCCAGCAGGCAGTCCACTTCTGCTCTTGGTTGCTGAGGCGTAGAGTTAACCACCACAAAGTGAAGAAGCGGACTGCCTGCTCGCATTTCGCAAAGGTACCTGCAAGATCAGACCTTAAGACTGTGGCCTGAGATTTCTGTCTTCTACTCTTCTGTCTTGGTGTAGTGGTTAAGAGTGGTGGACTCTAACCTGGAGAACCGGGTTTGATTCCGCACTCCTCCGCATAAAGTCAGGTGAGTGACCTTGGGTCAGTCACAAGTTCTCTCAGAGCCTTTCTCTCAAGAGCAGTTCTCTCAAGAGCTCTCTCAGCCCCACCTACTTCACAGGGTGTCTGTTGTGGGGAGAGGAAGGGGAGTTGGTTGTAAGCTCCTCTGAGACTCAGAGAGAAGGGCAGGGTATAAATCCAATCTCTTCTTCTTCTTTTACCTCACGGGGGGTCTGTTGTGGGGAGGGGAAGGGAAAGGAGTTTGTCAGCCACTCTGAGACTCCAAGTGAAGGGCAGGGGATAAATCCAATCTCTTCTTCTTCTTTTACCTCACGGGGGGTCTGTTGTGGGGAGGGGAAGGGAAAGGAGTTTGTCAGCCACTCTGAGACTCCAAGTGAAGGGCAGGGGATAAATCCAATCTCTTCTTCTTCTTTTACCTCACGGGGGGTCTGTTGTGGGGAGGGGAAGGGAAAGGAGTTTGTCAGCCACTCTGAGACTCCAAGTGAAGGGCAGGGGATAAATCCAATCTCTTCTCTTCTTCTTCTTCTTCTTCTTCCTCCTCCTATTCTGAAACACCCAGACAGACAGCAATCCATGACCCATCCTCTTGCTATAGTTTTCACCAGTTAAAATCTGGAAAACCCTAACCATCCTTACACTTAACATGAAGAAAAGGTGAGCTAGAAAACAAATGTGGCGTTTTTGCGCCAATCCGATCTGTCCTGATAAAAGTGATCACCCTGACCTGGATAGCCCAGGCTAGCCTGATCTCGTCAGATCTGGGAAGCTAAGCAGGGTCCGTCCTGGCAGGTTTTCGGATGGGAAACCTTCCAGGAATCCCAGGGTCGTGACGCAGAGGCAGGCAATGGGAAACCGCCTCTGAAACGTATCTTGCCTTGAAAACCCTACGGGGGCTGCCCTACGTCAGCCGTGATTTGACGGCAAAAAAGTACCACGCAGATGCTGTTGTGTAGAAACTGTACTCTGGCGACTGTCGGCTGCAAAATCTGCACTGCCCTCTTCTGGCAAAAGAGCCGCCGGCTCTGTTCTGAGCAGAGGTGTGAGGGAGAGCGAGGGGGGTGCGCCTGTGTGGTGGAGACCTGTGGTCTCCAGCAGGGGTCATTTCGTAGAAAAAGAGGTGCAGGAGCTCATTAGCATAACCTATTAGCATAACTTATTTGCATATGCCACACCCCCTGACATCATCAGAAGTGTGTCAGAAGGCAACACTGGACTGTTTTGGATTGCTAGCTGTTGGGGGGGGGGACACATGCAGATCTGTCCTCGCAGAGGAGGGAGAGCTCATACCTGAATAAAACTTGGTCTTAAAGGTGCCACTGGACTGTTTTGGAGTGGGGGGGCCGGGGGGAGCTCTGCAACTTACCTGGCTGCTTCTTGCTCTGACTGAGGGCTGCTGGGAGCAGGGGGTGGAGGGTGGGGCTTCTTGCATGTGCCCGCCCCCTGGGCTCTTTACTGCCGGAGCTCCGCTCCTGTGCGCTCCTGCAGGAAATGACCCCTGGTCTCCAGAACAAGGGCAGTGACGGCTTTTGTGGATCGCCCTGTAGGGGAGCAGGAGGGTCGCATGGACCTCAGCCACCCAGTCCACGCGGACAACTGCCTTTTGGACCCGGAAGGGAACACCTGTTGGAAGGAGCCTCCCGCTTACATCTACAGAGACTACAGGTGAGGCATTGAGCATGTAGGCAGGTGCCATGTTTTAAGTGTCACATTCATTTATTCGTTTATGTCACAATCCATCTTAGAAGCATCTTGAAAGAATGGCAAAGCTGCCCTGAGAGTCTTGGGCGGGGGGGGGGGAGTGCTGTCCAATTGCAGCCGACCTCATGGGGTCTTCTAGCACGGCGAGGTGGTTTGCCCCTTGCCTGCCTCTGCGTAGCAACCCTGGAGACTTCCTTGACGGTGTCCCAGCCGGGTTCTAACGGGGGCTGACCCTGCTTAGCTTCTGAGATCAAGCTAGCCTGGGTCATCTAGGTCTGACCCTGGGAGATTGGGGAGGGAGACTTGTGCCAAACGATAGATTCCTTCTGTAGATGTGCCTTCTCTACATAGTATCTCCATTTTTTTGTGAAAAGAGCTCACCTTAAAACAGAAGCAAGCTTACAAAGCCACCATGGCTATAGCCATTGAGGGGGACTTGTCCTCCGTGAATCTATCTAACCCCCTTTTAAAGCCGTCTGGGGGGCACGTTTGTACGCATCCCAGAACATAAGACCAGCCACGCTGGAATAGAAAAACAGTCTGAGCATCTTTGCTAGCATCCTTGTTCATGCAGATGGCCCACAGGCAGGGCACAGAGGCCACACATTCTCCCGCCCTGGTATCCAGAGTGGTTACTGACGCTGAACGCGGAGATTCTGTTTTGTCATCTGGGCGAACAGCTATTGACCGACCTATCCTCCATGCATCTGCCTTGTTGTTCAGTCGCACAGTCGAGTCCGACTCTTCGCGACCCCATGGACCAGATCACGCCAGGCCTTCCTGTCTTCCGCCGTCCTCTGAAGTTGGCTCAATTTCATGTTCGTTGCGTCGCTGACACTGTCTAACCATCCCATCCTTTGCCGTCCCCGTCTTCTTTGACCTTCAATCTTTCCCAGCATCAGGGTCTTCTCCAGTGAGAGCTCCCTTCTCATTTGGTGGCCACAGTATTTGAGCTTCAGTTTCATTATCTGGCCTTCCAGGGAACAGTCAGGGTTGATTTCTTTTAGGAATGACTGATTTGATCTTGCAGTCCAAGGGACTCTCAAGAGTCTTCTCCAGCACCATAGTTCAAAAGAATCTATTCTTCGGCGCTCGGCCTTCCTTATAGTCCAACTCTCGCAGGCATACATGACTACTGGGAATACCATTGCTTTGACCATGCGGACTTTTGTTGGCAGGGTGATGTCTCTACTTTTTATCATGCTGTTTAGGTTCGCCATCGCTTTCCAGTTTCCTCCCAAGGAAGTTCCTTTTTAAAGCTAACTGCCTAGATCCTTTTTAAAGCTAACTGTGCTAGTGACTCTCACTGTCTCTTGTGGCAGGGAGTTCCACGAGTGAATTACTTTTGGAGTAAAGAGGGAGGGAGCTGTGGCAGAGCCGGGGAGAAGAGGGAGGGTGTTCAGACCTGGGTTAGACGCTATGGTTGCTGTAAGAATCAGTTTCCCCATGATGAGTTTTCAACTCTCCCATATTGAACTGCATTTCCTGCACGAATCGAGGCCATGCTCACCCTGCGTCATTGGCAGCTCCCGACAGAAGAAGCTTCCCTATTCCATCTGTTTCTGTCTGTCTCAGATCTCCATAAATGCAAGGCAGGTTAGGACCCCAGGATGCACACCACCAGACAATAAGCGCAATAGATAAAGACAGCCATGTCCAGTGAGAGGGATAACCACACACAATCTGTCTTAAATGCACCCCAAAGGTTTGCTAAAGAGGCAGGCTCCAACAGGCTGCAATGGAGGTGCAAACGTCGTAATCTTGGGGCAGCGGTCGGGAAGGATCTGTCCTGCCACGTGGTTGCAGTTCTGCGTAGCAGCCTTCATTGCGGTCCTCTCGTCCTCTTGGCATTCACACCTCCTTCTCATTGTGAGTTGTGGGCAGCCAAGGATTATGAGCCGGTCTCTGATCTTCTCTACAGTGCAATTCTCTATCTGAATGACGACTTCCAAGGGGGAAACCTCTTCTTCACTGAGATGGATGCCGTGACCGTAACTGTGAGTCTGAGTCGGAGCTTTGATGTAGGTCTGGAGGAACGGGGAGGGCACCAGGGCCATGCCTGGGTTGGGAGTCCACCCTTGTATCCAGCACATTCTGTCTATAGGAACCCAGCAGGTTCAAATGGGGCAGCCAAAAGGCAAATTCATCCAAATTTCACATCAGGACAAATGTTAACTCCTCCTCCCCTGGCATTACATCCTCCTTCCTTTTGTTCCTAAGTCTGCACAAAGGAGCTGCGGTGGCTCAAGTGGTTAAGGCGCTGAACTGCAGGCTGTGGAAGGTCGGTAGTTCAGCAGTTCGAGACCCGGGTGCCGCATGACGGCGTGAGCTCCCGTCTCTAGTTCCAGCTTCTGCCAACCTAGCAGTTCAAAAGCAAGAAATTGCAAGTAGATAAATAGGTACCACTTTGGTGGGAAGGTAACAGCGTTCCGTGCACCTTGGTGTTTAGTCATGCCGGCCACATGACCACGGAAACGTCTTCAGACAGCGCTGGCTCTTCGGCTTTGAAACGGAGATGAGCACCGCAACCCTAGAGTGGGACTCGACTGGCTTTCGAGCAAGGGAACCTTTACCTTTAAGTCTGCACAGAACTCTTTGCTCCAGAGCAGTCAGGGGGGCTATCTCCTCTCCCTATTTATTATTATTACCATTATTATTTAATTTGATTTATTAATTGCCCTATCCCAGCTTGCGTCGGGCTCTGGGTGACCTACAAGGCATGATGACATAAAATATACAAACACATTAATGTTCAATATATAGCTTACATTACATTTGACAAGCCTTTATTGGCATACGTATATACATACAATAGGAGATCAGATTAAAGATAGATCAGAAAATACAAATCCATATAGGATAAAATTGGAGCTCCGGCGCAGAAAATCAGCATGAAAGAATATATAGGTCCTGCCACACGGGGGGGGGGGGGGACAGGGCGGGGACAAGGCGGCGTTTTGAAAACCGCACCAAAGTAGGCACGCAGCGGCGGGATCACACAGATCCCATGAGCCGCCACGCACTTGCTCCCCGGCATGATCAGATGCCCGGGAGACTGGGGAGAAAGCAATGAAGCAGAGAGGGAGGCTGCTGAACTGCGCATGTGTGAGCATGCGCAGTTCGGCCAGGAGCCTCGGATGCGCCGTCAGAAGGACGCGCCGGCGATACCACGGCCGCTTGCCCCGGCCTTTCTGGTAAGCGGGTTTTCGGCCTGAAGGGCCGGATCGGGGACGGGTGCGCACCGCTTCCCAGATGTTGCAGTGCGATTGCGCCCGTTTGCTGCGCCCCCAATCCGTCCCTCTCCCGGCCCAAACCCTTACATGTTACCGGGGCCAAAGCTTAATAAAAATTACAATACAGAATAAAAGATCTAAGATGGCAATCTCCCTATAATATTATTTATCCCAGTTCTGGACTGCTGGCCCCTTTTCTGGGCAGGGGGAAAGGGAACTCAGAGCAAGAAAGGGGGACGGGGAGGAAGGGTGCCAGCCAGGTGCTTACCACAGTTCCAGAAGGGCAGTTCTTGTGCTGGGTGGTGGATGAAGGGGCAGATCACACAAGGGAGTGTTGATTCACCCTTTCCCCTCCGTCCTTCTCTTGCTTGGGCAGGCCCAGGTACGGCCAAAATGTGGGAGGCTGGTGGCCTTCAGCTCTGGTGGAGAGAACCCCCATGGCGTGTGGGCTGTGACCCGTGGGAGACGCTGTGCCATCGCCCTCTGGTACACCACCTCTCCGGAGCATTCGGAACAGGTAAGAAGGAATTGGGAAACGGCGGGGAAGGAGAGAAAGGATCAGTGGCATTGTCCAAAGGCTTGATGAAGCAGACCGTCAGTTCGATGACTGAGGGGTGACATGATTGAGGTTTATAAGATTATGCATGGAAAAAAGCAGGTAGAGAAAGAGGTACTTTTCTCCCTTTCTCACAATACAAGAACTCCTGGGCACTCCATGAAACTGCTGAGCGGTCGGGTTAGAATGGATAAAAGGAAGTACTTCTTCACCCAAAGAGTGATTAGCACATGGTTGGAATTCACTGCCACAGGAAGTGGTGGCGGCTACAAGCATGGACGGCTTCAAGAGGGAATTAGATAATAAATATATGGAGCAGAGGTCCATCAGTGGCTATTAGCCACAAGGTATAGACAGGGGCTCTGGGGCAAGTGATGCTCTGTCATCTTGGTGCTTGGGGGGGTGTTCAACAGTGGGAGGGCTTCTAATGTCCTGGCTCCACTGGTGGACCTCCTGATGGCACCTGGTATTTCTGGCCACTGTGTGATACAGAGTGTTGAACTGGATGGGCCTTTGGCCTGATCCAACGTTGGCATCTCTTATGTTCTTATGAGTTTTCAGGCATCAATAAAGGCATGTGGAATTTCAGGAGCGCAGAAATGTCTTACTGCTTTGGGAAAGGGCTGAGATTCGGGAGGGAGGGGCCTTCGTATGTGCTTTGGAACACAAGGAGAGCCACACAGTGGCACGGAGGAGTCCCCCCCCCTTTCTCCTTCCACAAATGAGGCCCAGTCTCTTGGTTTACAGGAAAGGGCCCAGGCGGAAGAGCTGGTGAAACAGAAGGAGGCAGAACAGGAAGAGTCACATTTGGACGACAAGGAGAATGCCGAAGCTGGCCGCAGCACCGGAGACTCGCCTGAGCCTCCCGCTCCCAAGGGAAGGGCCAGATCCGCTGGCCGGAGGAGCAAGCAGCACTCAGAGTCCGGGGTACAGTCCAAGGGGCAGCAGACCAGAGATGAACTCTGAGCCGAGCAAAGATGCAACTCCTGTGACTTTTTATCTCTAGACTGGCCCTTGTGCAACGGGCTAAGGACGTCTACCTGACTCCGCTGTGACATCACAGCAAGGAAGACGACCTCAGAAGGTGATGCTTGAGCCACACCCACCATCTTCACCTGGAAGTCCTTTTGCCCCAGCCCAGGGGGCTGAAGTATTGAACCCGTGTATCAGAGGGGCCCAGAGAGGCTTAGCCATGAGCCGCGAGTCCTCAGTTTCAATTTGCCACGAAGTCCTTGGGTGGCCTTAAGCAAGACATGCTTGCCTGCTGTCTTTCTCTCCCCCTGTCCCGCTCATCCCCTCACCTGCCAATGTGAGAATAATAATACTGATCAGCAGTGTTCCCTCTAAGCTGAATTAGTGCGAGCTCGCTCACAGTTTTTTAGTCTCCGGCTCACCCGTTTTTGCCTTGCCTCAGGAAGGGATGGCCCCAGAGCAAACTGATCTATGCAGTAGCCAAATGGCTCGCTCCCAACTTTAACGCCGGTAGCTCACGAAGTAGAATTTTTGCTCACAAGACTCCACAGCTTAGAGGGAGCGTTGCTGATCAGACTTAACAGGGTTGTTATGAGGGTGACTTGAAATCACATGTGAAAAGTGCTGCAGAAACTCCAAAGTGCTATACAAATGGTAGGAATTGTGAGTCTCCCGGTTCTCTCCCCCCCCCCTTCTTTACACGGTCATGTGGGGCAACCCAATCCAAACAACGGGTGAAAATTCTGAGAACAGATCGATGAGTCTGAGAACTTCTGCTGTGACAGAAACCAACCACCCCTGCGGGTCTAGCCATTCCAAAGCAGGGATCTGGAGTGGGAACGTTATAGTACGAAATAAAGGAGAAGCTAGAAAGCGGAGGATCTTCAAGCCCCATGTTCTTGTCCAAAGGGTAACCGGCACGAGGAGCAGAGAAACACAAGCAGAGGGTGCAACTGTGCAGGTTTCTTTTCCAGGTTATATTCCAAGGCCAGCTAAGCGCTCTTCTCAGCAGAGGGCTCTGCTTCCAGGCTTGTATTAGCCGCTAGGACAAGAATTACGTTTCCTTCATCAGGGTGTTGAACATGGCCCCTGTGTTCCCTCTCTGCAGCTGTATGCTTTGCAGAATTGATAATCAGTTTATATCACAGTCTGAATATATTTGCATTGCTAAATTGTTCTGCTTGAAAGTGTTGTTTTTTTTAAAGTGGGACTTCTTTTATTGACAAGAACCCCTCTAAGTACACCTAACGGGCACACAGTCCTACTTTGTTAAGTGAGCCTCAGGGTAGAGCAAGATGTATGGGAATGGGAAGAAGAAGACGAAGAAGAGATTGGATTTATACCCTGCCCTTCACTACCCAAGGGTGTCTCAGAGCGGCTTACAAAGTCCTTTCCCTTCCCCTCCCCACAACAGACACCCTGTGAGGTTGGTGGTGCTGAGAGAGCTCTGACAGAAACTGCTCTTTTTCAAGAACTGCTGTGCCAGAACTACGGCTTGCCCAAGGTCATCCAGCCAGGTGCAAGTGGAGGAGTGGGGAATCAAACCCGGTTTCCCCAGATTAGAGTCCACACACTTAACCACTACACCAAACTGGGAACTCAGGAACTGAGCCATTATGGGAAGTAACTCCAGCCAAAGCAAAAATATGGGCATTTTTCCTCCCCCTCCTGAAAAAAAATCCAAAAATTTGGGGGGGGGGATTGAAATATATGCAATACTTATTGACCTATCAAACCTAAACTAATGTTACTGATTTAACAACATAAAATGCATCAAATTGCAATATTTGACTTATTTATGGAATTTAAAAGTTATAAATGCCCTAGTTTTGTACAAGCAAAATGATAAATATACCCAATACTTAAGAGAAAACTGCAAGCAGATGTATCCTTCATGATCTTAGCACACACACCTTAACTTTTGCTATCTGGTTAGAGAGAGTGAAGTTTTCATCTGAGGCGTTGGTGTAATTTCTGCCCCACCCTCTCCTGATCTTTTTTCTCCCTCCTGCAAAGTAGGGCAATAACCTCCTTTTTACCCAGCCTGTGGGTAAATGCGTCACAGTGGCTTGAGGGAGAGGTGAAAATGTCGACCATGTCAGGTCAAAAGGACAACAGAAGGCATGCAACTGTTGAGAAGCAATGAAAGCTCTGCATGCCCCCCTCATGAAGATTAGGTATCTTTCTAGGTGCAGCATTGTACCTTGGATTTAAGAGTTGTATATGTCCACAGCATGCTTACCTTGTCTTTAAAAGCATTTCACTCATTCTAAAAAAGAAAATATTTCATAGGAGGTTTTTTCCCCCCCAGCATTCCCCAAACTGTAAGGTTTCTTGTTGGAAAAATGGAAACAAGTTCTTGGGAAAAATGGAAAAAAAGGTTTTGGGTTTTCCTCAAAAAGGGGGGGGGGAGGGGCCTCACTCACTCACACATACCCAGGATGTCAAGAGGCTCTGTAGGCTACACCAGATGGGGGAAGGTGGGAAAACCCATTCCAACTGGCTGTTCTCCACTCAAAGATCTTGTCGGACCCACACTGTTATGTCTTACCTAGCACCTTTTGGTGCATGCAGAAGCTCCAGTATGCATGTGAAGCACTAGCATGCGCAAAGGTTTTCCAATTTGCTGTGCACCCCTAGACTGAAAGGACTGGGTCAAGTGGTTGTCTGAATGCTCCACCTCACATTCCGATTTTCATTTAGCCTTCATTTCTTCATTCATCCAGTCCATATCTTTTCTCTGGACCTACGGAGAAGTAGTCAGAAACTTTTCTTTTGCCTCATGACTGTTCAAGCCACACTGAGGGAAAACGGCAGCACGTAAAGTATATTTATTTTGTTTACTTTATTTCAATTGATATTCTGCCCTCCCTGCAAGCGGTCTGAGAGCAGATCACAACTTAGCTTCTAAAACAGATAGAATACAGCATTGATGTTGTATGAATATAATTAATTTATTGCATTTATACCCTGCCTTTGTCCCTGTTGGGTATTCAGAACAACTTAAATGGATCTTTCCTCTGTTTTATCATTAAAATGACTCTGTGAGGTAGATAAGGCTGACAGTGTGACTGGCCCAAGGTCACCCAGCAAGTTTTTGTGGCAGAGGCAAGATTAAAACCTGGGTCTCCCAGTCTGATACTCTAACCATTATACCATGCTGGCTACTCTAAGCCACAGATTCAGAAATTGTTTCTCAGAGAGAAGAAAATGGCCAGAAATTCAAGCTTTGCATTGTGACCAGTGTTCCCCCTAAGCTGAGTTAGTGTGAGCTAGCTGACAGTATTTTAGCCTCCAGCTCACAGATTTTTGTCTTAGCTCAGGGAGGATGGCTCCAGAGCAAACTAATTTATGCAGTAGCCAAATTGCTTGCTCACAACTTTAATGCCAGGAGCTCACAAAATAGAATTTTTGCTCACAAGACTCCACCGCTTAGAGGGGACATTAATTGTGACCCATGTTGTGTTGCCAGCTCCTGTGCTGTGACATCTTTACCATGTACTAACTGTACTTCTGGTACATAAACCACATCTACATGCCTTCACACCACACACAAAACTGGTGGTATTTTGTATATTTGAGTGAGGGAAAAGGGAAGGCCACAGTTGCGCGACTAAATGTGGCTATAGAGGAAACAGTGGTAGGCTGGGTTTATGGATAGAAACCCAACAGGTCCGATTTGATGAGCTTTGCCTCTGGAGTGCCTCAGATAAGTGACAGGCAGAAAGAGGGAGCCGGGAGGCCTCCCTGCGGCTGTTGAAACAAAGATTTAATTAACAAATGATTGGCCAGGGAACAAACGAGAGGTCAGGGGAAAGGGAAAGCAGATGAGCAGCCCTTCCCTCAGCAAATACAAATTCGGGTGACTTAGGAAGAGATTCCTGAGCAAGCAGCTCGGACCCTGAGGGAAACTTCCCACTCTTAACTTCAGACTTTTGTGGCCTTCCCGCCACAGCAAGTCAGTCAGGTGGTCTCTTCAGTCCAGCTCACTCCCAGTGAAGTATTCTGAGGAGGGCTCTGCTAGATCATTGTATTCCAGGCCAGGATACATGCCAATCTAGTGTCATTCACTCCCTGCATGTGGGATTAGTTTCCAGAGATGGGATTATTATTGTAGCCAAAGAGAAGCTGAGAGGGAGAGTGGGGGAAATGGCGTTGAGGAGAGCAGTGCCCACACGCTAAATAATGCAGTCTCAATCCACTTCAGCGACTGTTTGCAAGTGGATGTTGCCTTTTCACACAGTGAAATCCAGCTGCAAAGTGCATTGAAAGTGTGTTAGTTAGTGTGTGTGAAAGCACCTACAATGGATCCAGTGCCGCTTGGGGTAGGAAGGGCTGGCTGAGGTGAAAATCTGAGTGAAATGAACAAATCTTTGCTTCATCGGGAGTCCCCGGAGGTCAAGCAGGTGCTCAGATCCTCCTTGTGTTTTGCCAACACGGAGCACTGCTGGCTTTGATGAGTTTCTGTCGAAAATTAAAGTTTTCCTCACAGCCTTGCTGTTGGGTGTGAAATGAGAGAAGGCTCCCCCCTAGCACAAACCTCGCCTCTAGGGCCAGCTCAAACTCAAAGGATCGTGTCACCCCTCAACCAAGATACCCCTGGGGTGTGGTCAGATGGCACGCTGAGAGCGGGTTAAACTGCTCTGGTTCTAACCGGATTATATTTGAGCTGGATAATTGCGATCACACTTACCTCCCTTATCCCACCTCACTGCGCAGTCCGGTCGCTCCCCGGCGTCTACACTACTGACGCGCAGGAGCGTGTGTTGGCGTTTTTTTAAAAAAATGTTTTCCTGTTTGCGCATGCGCATAGGCGCCCTCTCTCATATCATGGTGCATGCGCAGAACCACCAGGGCGAATCAATCCAACCCCTCCAACAAAAGACTTCCCTTTAAATGTTTGACCCGAAAATGGCCTCCGTGAGATCCCAAACTCATCTAAACACTAAAACAAGTGACCGTTTAAATGTCGGTTTTCTAAACGTGGTGGCGGAGCTCCACCTATGTGCGCACTGCCAACACATTTTAAAAAATGGCAGGCGAAAAGCGGAAGCCTTGGGCAGCTTTCGAGCGGGGAGGGGGTTTAAACCGGAAGCGGCTCGACACCGCAGGAGCGATCAGACGTCAGAAAAGTGCGGCTAGAACCGGAGAATCAGGAAAACACCACTTGGGGACCTGGTAACAAAATATTCTGTTTTAAAGGGGGTTTGAGCCAAAAAGTGATGGCTGGGGACGGTGCGCAGATGTTGGGTGTGTGAACGTGGATATAAAATCCGCTAATGAAGCGTGCCGAAAGCGGACTAAACGGCCCGTCTGAACGCACCCCTGGTGTCTCATCTCCCAGGTCCAGGTTGGGTCAGCTTGGGCACAGACAGCGGTGGTATCAGTCCAGGAGATGACAGCTGCAAACTCCCACATA